TTTATCTCGAGTTGACTCTTATGTTTACTAAATGCTAGGTTCGAATTGATTTACATCTAAAGGTCTCCAAACAGTTCCTCACTGGCATCCACTCTGAACTAGTAAGGCACCTTGATCTTCACCCATTGTAGTCTACGAACGACAAGGATTCAATTTGAGTAAGAGTATTTCACTTGCCATTACAAAGGTTATCATCTCACTAGAGCATAGGTACTTTACTCCCTCCTAAAAGGGTTAGAGCTCATGTATGATGTGTGTGAATGTATGATGTAAAGGTGTTGTGCGTGAACAAGGAAACAAAGTATTGTAATTCTTATTCTAAGCACTTCATGACAATAATAGTACATACAAAGCATAAAAGAGCAAATAGTAAATAAATGACATGAATAAAATGAAATGCAATTTTTCATTTCCCTTTTATTATTATTATTATTATTAGAAATAATTAAAATTAAAAAAATTAAAGTTAAATACCAATTAAGACCATTAAATCAAAATTAAAGATAACGTATTATTAATTTTTGACTTGAGTCTCTAAAAAAAATGACGTTCCCAGTGGAGTCGCTAAGTTGACGTAATGGTTTTGAAGACTGCAAGACGAATTTAAAAACAAAAAGATGGAGTCACCACCAATATTTTTTTAGCTAGGTGTAATTTGTCACCAATTAAAACTTACCTTTTTAATAAAATTTTAAAATTAATTAAATTTTATTAAAAAAATAATTTTTAGGCTATGCAAAAACAGTTTGAGTTTAGAAGTCGGTTACACGTATGAAAGGATTAGCATCCGCATGATGCCCGTTTAAAATGGTACAAATTAATTATGTGTTATCTTTTAATATTGACCAAAATTGTCTTAATTTTGATATTTAAAAATTATTTTTTTTAATTTTCTTAAAATATATATCTTTATTTTTTAGCAAGATTGAAAAATAAATGAGAACCTTATATTGAAAATTTTCTAAATATATTTTAATACTTTGGCAATACTAAAATGAACCATTTCACCTAAGGAATTTTTAAAAATTGCTATTCATAATTCTCAAAAATCCTATCATCGATGGTTCATATTTATGTCCAATATTTCTTTAAAAAAAGCATAAAATATTATATCTATAATTTTAAAAACAAATAGTATTTTCTTAAAAAAAATTCATTTTTATGCCACTTATAAAAAAGCGAGAAATCTTTATTGAAAATTAATCTAAATGCTCCAATACATTGGTGGCATTTTAGATAGATTGTTTTACCTAAAAATTCTTAAAGAATCATGACTCAGATTTCTTTAAGATCTCTTCAGAGATTTTTCATTTGGTTTTTTTTTTTAATTTATTAAAAGTCATGTAATCATATAATTATCTACAAATATATTTATTTCTTAAAAACACACTTTTATTTTATAAAAAAAAAATTGTTCAAATTTAAAAAAATGATTATAAAATGAAAATTTTTCATATTGAAAAGAAATTTCTAAATATTTTAATACTTTGACAATTTTTAGAAGGTTTTTCCCACCTAAAGAATTCTTGGGAATCACTACTCGAATTTTCCAAAATCTCATCATCAGAAATTTTATTTGCTTAATTTTATTATTAATATTATTATCTATAAACAAATTCATTTTGAAAAGTGTATATTAAAATTATTCAAATTGAGAATAATGATAAAATGAAAATCTTTCGTATTGAAAAGAGACTTCTAGATATTCCAATACTTTGACAATTTTTAGAAAACTTTTTCTCACCTAGAGAATTTTAGAAAATCATTACTCGGACTTCATCAGGTCCCATTATCAAAAATTTTTATTTTACATTTAAAGCTATGTAATGTAGACAATAAAATAGAATATGCAAACTAAAAATATAACACTTATTATGTTTTAATCTTCTTTAATTATTTCCCTATTATTACTAACACTTTTGAAAGGAACAAAGTAAATAAAAATTTTTATTGAAAATTTTCCTAGATACCTTGATATTTTGGCGGTATTTTAGAAAAAGTTTCTCACTTAGAGATTTTTTAGGAATCTCTACTCAAACTTCCTTAGAATCTCATTCTCGAAAATTTTTATTCAGTTTGTCCTTTCTTACTTAATTAATTATTTTTTTCTATTTTTTAAACTTTGATTATACCAATTTCATTTCTAAAAGAGTCGTTACACATTATTATTATCATCTGTAAAAATTTTAGAAAAATAGATAAATGAAATCTTTTTTTATTGGATATTTTCCTAAATACTCAATTACTTTTGTAGTATTTTTTAGAGAAATATCCTCATATAAACATTTTAGAGAATAACTACTCGAATTTCTCTAAAATATCATCCTTGAAAATTTCATTCAATTTATTATTAATAAATAAAGTACAAATTTGCATTTAAAATAAATTAAGGTTCAAAAACTAAATTGCATAAAAATCAAAGTGAACATAGAAATTTAACCAAACTAGCAACAAAAAAAAATGCATGGGATTTAAATTATAATCATATTTGAAGTAACATTAAAGAAATAAATGATGATATAAAACATACATGAAAATAAGCCTTATTGTAAAATTTTCAGTATCTTTTCAAAACTTTGTGAAGTTGTAAACAATCTAAAAAAGAAGAATAAAACAAGATTTTGAGCTAGGTGAAACAATACTATTAATAAGTGGAAAAACCAAAATAGAAAAAGAAATTCTAGCCTTCCCATAAGTATTCATCATACCATAAAGACCAGTAGATTTAATGAATATCTAAAAATCAATGACCAAGTACAACATAACATCAAACAAATTAACTTGGAAATGTATCGACCATAAATTCCATGAAGTCAAGCCAAAGATGCACATGGCATGTAAAAAAAAGGAAGCCAGTTCAATCAACACTAAGCTATATAAATGAGAACATTATAGTAGCTAAAAAACAACAAAAAAAGTAATTGAAATCTTGTTGCATGAAAGAACAAAGAAAGTTAACTCGAAACCTTTTCTACCTTGGCTTGCTTCCTTTCTTCCTTTTTCAGCATTTTATTCCCTATTGTTTATGGTAGCTTCCTCTTCTTTCTTCTTTCAGTAGCTTTTTCTCTAGCCCTTTTCTTTTGGTAGTCCTTCTCTTTTTCTTTCTCTTTTCTTCTCTTTCTTCACCTCCTTTATTCAGCTTCCTCATTTTTTTTTTCAGCAGCTTCTTTCCCATCCCTTTTTAACATGTTTGGTTTTTTTTCCTTCAAACCTCTTTCTTTGATCGAACTCCCCAGCCAACAGATTCTTCCCTTCTTTTTTTTTCTTTCTCCCTTCTCCTTCACCTACTATATTCGGCTAACTTCTATCTTTTTTTTTTTTTCAGCAACTTTATTCCCTTCCATTTTTTATGTGTTTGGCTTTTTTCTTTTTCCACCTTTCCAGCCTTTCTTCCCTTCCTCCTTTTATTGAACCCTTCAATAGTTAGCTCCTAAAAAAAATCTAATTCTTGATGAATATAGACCCCTTAAATAAGATTTCATCCAATGGTCAAAGCTTGTCTTTTTATTCCATTCAAGGAACCACCTTTGTCTATTAGATTAAGATCAATAAGATCCAATGCTCTACATTATTCATTGCAAATATTAGATTTTTATGCCTTTCAAACACATGAAAAGATCATTGTACCTATAGTGTAAAGTTTTTAGTATTTACGCTATTTTCTTAGAAATCAATGCTCTCATGCTCATATTTGAGATTTTAAAACACCAAAAATCATGAAATATTTTAAAATTGGGATCTAAAAAGTTTTATGAAAATTCAAGCTTGGAAAGTTCAAATTATGAAAATACTTTTATAGGGGTATTTTGATAATTTCATATTTTTCGGGGTACTGCTATGATTTCAAATGCACCAAAAATCATGAAATATTATGACATTAAAAGCTGAAAGGTTTTATGAAATTTTTAGCTCGATAAGGTCAAATCATAAAAATACCCTTTTTATAGGGGTATTTTGATAATTTTACACTTTTTAGGATATGATTGTGATTTCAAATGCACTAAAACTTATGAAACATTATGAAATTAAGATCTAAAAAGTTTCATGAAAATCTGAGCTCAGGAAGATCAAATTACAAAATATCCTTTATAGCAATATTTTGGTAATTTTGTACTTCCCCAAATGCAATAAAAATTTTTAGTTTTTCAAAAATCACTAAATTTAATTTTAAACCACATTCATTTTAATTAGACTTTGAACTTTGTAGATTAACCCTAATACTATATATTTTGACTGGGTTTTATGTAATTTTGACTTGAGTTGACTTTGAGGTTTACTTGTTTTATTTATTATTTACTTCTCTTGCATTCACATGAAAAAGTATCTTCCATATAAATCCTATGCAAAAGAATTTGACAATAATCATATGGGTCTCCTTTTTATTAAGCCTAAATATCAATGCATTTTATGGACTCTTAAAGGGTTGTAAATGGGCCTAGGTTAACATGCTAAAATATTTCGAATAAAATTTGGTATCTACAAGATGGATTTTATTATGGTGGTGGTAGACCGATTAAGTAAATATGCCCATTTCATCACTCTAGCTCACTCTTATACTACTGTAAATGTAGCTCAAGCTTATTTAGATAATATATACAAGTTGCATGGTAGGTCTAATACCATTGTTTCAGATAGAGACAGAGTCTTTACTAGTTTATTCCGGAAAGAATTGTTCAAACTACTTGGCACGAAGCTAAAAATGTTCACAACATATCACCCACAAAGTGATGGCCAATCTGAAGTTGTCAACAGGTGCTTGGAAACTTATTTGTGTTAGGAATAATGACTCAATTCCCATAACAAATTTGTTTGAGATTGGTTAGATATTACTTGATAGACAAGAAGACTTGCAAAAGAAGAATTCTAAGAAAAAATAGATTCTTAATATGCAAGTTTAACTTGTAAAAAAAGAATTCTAAGAGGAAAGGAATTCTTAATAGACAAGCTTATATACTTATAAATAGGTAAAGTCTCTATAGGATTAGGTATAAGAAAAAGATGTAAGAGAGTTATAAGATTTTATGAAATAGACACCTCATAAGACTACTGAAGGTTTACATCTTATGGATGTGTATTTTTGTATGTTTGTGAGTGAACTCGAAGAGATTGAGAGGGTTCACATAGGTGTGGTGCATGTGAGTGGACTAAAGGAGATTGAGATGGTCCACATAAGAATGATGAATCGGTATATATGGGTATGTGTTTGTTTGTATTAAAAGGGTGCACATGGGTATGTGTTTGTTTGGATTAAGAATACTCCAGAGGACAAAGAGATTGAGATGGTTTATAAGTATTAGTTATGAGTGTTTGATTTAATTTGTATGTTTATAATTCTCTACAACTAGTGGATCTTGTTTCTCATCCGTAAACTAAGTCAATTGGATCGAACCGAATTAAATTATTATCTCTTGTGTGATTGATTAATTATTTAATTATGCTTCCACTTGCTTAATTAGACAGAGGCTTTTTACCTAACAATTTGAGGTGCATGTTTGGGAAAAAGCCAAAATAGTGGTCTAAGTGGATGCCTCTCACTCAGTGGTAGTATAACACTAGTTATCATACTTCTATTCAAACCACACCATATGAGATAGTACATGGTCAACCAATGCAAATCCATATGCCTTATCTGCTTAGGGATTCTAAAATTGAAAAAGTTGATAGAAGCCTTCAAAGCAAAAGAATTCATGATTAAACTTTTGAGATTTCATTTGGATAGAGCTCGAATAAGATAAGTAATAGGCTGATAAGCATAGAACTAATAGGACACTCAAGATTGGTACCCTAGTTTATGTTAACCTTCAACCATATAGGCAGAATTCAATCAATAATAAGTTTTATTTGAAATTAGCTACACAATTCTTTGGTCCTTACAAGGTGCTGAAAAAAATGGAATAGTTGCTTACATATTAGAGCTGCCTCCAAAAGCAAAGGTTCGTCCAATTTTTCATGTTGCACAATTCAAACATGTGGGAAAGACACCAACTCAGTTTCATCTTTCTTAGATCAATGAAGGAATGATAGCTAAGGAACCAATAGCTAACTAGCCAGAAGGTTGAACAAGAAGAAAGCAATCATGGAAGTACTAGTGCAATAGAGTAATTGTTACCCTAAAAATGCTACCTAGAAGAATTTATATGAACTGCAAAGCAAATTTCCTTCTTTCAATCCTTGAGGACAAGAATTCTTTCAAGAGGTAGACAATGTTGCGAGCTAAAGTTCTATTGGGCCTATTAGCAGTATTGGTCCATGTTAATCAGCCCAAAGATTTAGCTAATATATGGAGTAAATAAACGAGTTAGTAATTTTTGTTTTGGTTTTGTTGTTAGTAACAGACAAGTGAGGTATTGGAGAAATTCTCGAGAGAAGAGTACAATAATGATTGTAACAGATTCAGTTGACCATGATTGAAATATACAATTCCTCTTCACATTGAATATTCTTTTTCTCTCTTCTCTTCGTATCTCTTTTTGGATAATTCCAGAATCTCCTAAATTCTCTCAAATCTCATTAAGGTCCGGATTGTTATAAGCTACTTCTGGTCTGCATCACACAACAATATTTTATTGGTACACTAATTTTTAGAAAACGAAAAAAATCTAAAAGTCAATAATATAAAAAAAAAAAAATTACATTAAACTTCAATTTAATAAAATAAAAAAATTATAAATTTATAATAAAAAATTAACTTGACAATTTGAATAAACTTAAAAAGTCAACTACTTATTCGACCAAAGAAAAAATTCAATTACTTGAATCAAATTGATATGAAACCCTGTAACGATTTACATTTGAAAAACTCTTTTTCGTATTGATTCAAATTTAAATTGACATAAAATAAAAATGATTTAAAGCAAAAGACAACTTGACATAAATGGTAACGCCCTATGAAAGAATCATGCTTGCAGTACTATCCCAACCTTTCCAATGGAAATAAATTCGATTCGCCTTTCTTTACTGGCGACGTTGAGCTAGAAATGGTTTGAATGTCATCAGCACTCCCAATGCTTCAACCATATTCAAGATGAAAAATACCATCTGAGTACCTGTAGTTGATAATTAGCTACCAAGTTATTGTATCTGATGGATTTTAAACTTGGTTTTAAAGGTTAAACTCCGAAACTGCTTATTCAACTCTTGGGTGATTACCACAGTGCAGAATAGTTGGTGGAAAGCCGCAGAGAGGTAAATCCTCTTAACCCATTTTCAAACAGTCAAATACAATTAAAAGAATAGCATTTTTTTTATTGCAAAAAGAATATACAAAAACATTCATGGCATAAGTAATAGGGCAAGCAACATTGTTGTACACCAATGGTTAGATGGTTCAAGTGTAAAAAAGAGTTTACTCTTTTTTTTTTTTTTCTTTTTTGCATGGCTTCAAATCTGTCGGGAAGTTGTGGAAAGATAATTTTTCATAAATTATTTAAGCCCGACTAGATGAGGCTGTTTGAACTAGTTTGGACGGAGGATTTACCTCTTACCTCTTAATAAAAAAAGCCATCGGCTACAACTAAGAAGTACAAGATTCAAAGTTCAAAACTAAAGCCCTCACCCTCAAATTCCCTTTGATTTAAAAGGGAACAAAAAGATGATAATAAGATATGATGTTTACTACAATCACAATTAGTGAAAGACATGATCAAGAAAAAAGAACTATTCAACTTATTGATGTCATCATTCATTCTTATACACGTCTAAGTATGCCTGAAGCACTTAGGTTTTTATCAATACTTCTAAATTACGATAATGTAGTTAATTTCACTTTCTCTAAAACAATGATACGTTTAGAATAATACTAGACCTAATGATAACAGCTAGCTTTCAAGGATATGGTGAAAGTTTTCAACGTGCTTCCATTCTTTTCAAACCAAAAAATTTATGTCGGGTGCGGAGCATATGGTGAGACAAGAATTCACCAAAAATGTGACTTGTAAAACTATATACACTAAAATGCATTTGCTGAAAGTCCCTCTATAGCTATACTATTGTCTTTAGATTTTGGTTTATGATGCATCTTGTAAGCAAGATGAAATTATGATGTGAAACATCGTTTATTAGCATACCTGGAAAAAATGAAGCATCTTGTCTCTTTTCTGCCCAAGAAAACCTGTGAAATATAAGGCTATGAGATTAACCACAGGAAAAGAAAAGGAAAACTTTTAACAAGAACCAGAACTGGTAAATACAGGCATACTAGTGCCATACAAGCTGCAATTAAGGGAGAAAATCTAGAGTAGGAAACTTACAATGCACCTCCTCCTGCTGGACCAGCTGCTTTGAAAAGAGACATTGCAGTCATGGCAAGGCCATTAGCCGCTCCTCTTTGGTGTTGATCCTGTTTTTTTCATATTTAATCATATTAGGTTGATGTGTTCTCTATAAAAATAAGGAAATTAAACTATGAGAACCCAGAATAAAGGCTTACCACAGCTTGATTTTGCAGAATAAATAATCCAGTTACCATTGATATCTAGTTATGTAGAAAGACTTAATAGTTAGAAGAGCAGATAAGTTCTAATTCAAGTCTCTCCAAACAGAATATCTGTTAACATTAGCATAACAATAATGCAATTATAAGATGGGAACTGAAAATAAAGTTCTAATCATATTCCCTTACTGATAAAACGTTCTTCATGATAGATGCACAATTTATTACCAAGCTAAGAGTGAACCCAGAGAAAATGGCAATACAAGAATAACTTTGCAACAGAGGTATAGTTAAGACCTGCAAGTAGGAAATTAAGTAACCAGGAAAATATATATATATATATATATATATATATATATATAAACTAGCAAAATTTTCAAAAAAATGATAAAACAAGGAAACTGCACTAAATTTTACAAGGTTTTGGAAACTTACACCTGCAATTCGAGATACCATTACGGGTCCTAGAATCCTCTCCACAAACGGATAAAGGGAAAGTTGAAAGACAAGAAGGCTGAAACCTAGATGTAGAAGGATTGATCAATGTAAAACTCTACTCCGTAGGAAACACATGTTTTATTTGTACATGTTATCCAAAAGGAAATTGTTAATGCAACAACAGGTAATGCAGTAACGATCACATAATAATATCCCATAATAACTCAAAACTCTTTCAGCTATCCATATTTACCATGCACATTCCTACCCTTCTATTAAATACAAAATATAAACATAGATTTTAGGAAATTTAATAATTATGCAGCACTAGCCACTTAGAAATAGGTGGAGAGAACGAACTTAAAAACAAAGTCACAATAAACTTAATAACACCCGTTAACAAATTAAATTACACAGTCACATAGTTGTGATTGCAGAATCCGTTTATGCTTTGATCTCGTCAACACTTCATAGTTGACAGCTTATATGTACAAGTGAAAAAGAGAAGATACTTGCAGGAAAAAGTAGTATTATGACTTGTTTTCAGTTGGAGAACGTGCTCTAGTTAACAAGATTTTGATTCCAAAACCTAAGAGACGAGTGTATGCATACAGGGTGTGGATGTATGCAATAAAACTAGATTAATAAGATACCTGAGATCGAAAGAACTTCTCCAACATCCTCTGTTGAATAACTCAATCCCCCATACTTTCTAGGGCTAACAGCCCATAATGAAAATATCTGCAGAATAAAGATTAATTGCAACACATGCCAATCAGATTGACAGCCATAGTTTACCTACTAACCATGAAAATTTGTAAAGATTTAAATTAAATATGATTATTACCTCTGTGTATGCCATATCATGAAGGGAGAAAACACAATAAACAATGATAGATGACATTAAAGGCCAATTCGTTAGAAGGCTTTGCTTAGAAGCAGATTCTTTTCCTTCATTTTCTTCTTTTATTTCTTTTGTGCTAGATTCATGAGATGCAGCTTCCAAAGCATCATATGAATCATCACATGATCTATTGTTGTCATTGTGTTTATGAAGTGTTTCCTGCAATTACCACATTTTTTAGAATCTGTAATGAAGTAAATAGCCAATCACATCAAGCCATTACAACAACAGGCAAATAATTTTCTTTCAAATAAATATTCTAGAAACTCATAATTAAGTTGAGGGTAAATTTAAAGGAAGTTTCTGTTGTCCGATGATAAACTTAAAACAGCATACATTAAGCAAATCTGAAACTTAAACAACTAGAGTATGGAGATGACCAAGTTGTAATATCACACAGGCAGAGAGTTGACGTCCAGGATCAAATCTCAGAAAATAAAAGCTACATCCTGCAGGCATGTAAAGGACAGTTTATAATGTTCAAACAAAAGTCAGAAACGCTTTTAATTGGATGTTGTAAGAACCAGGATAATCCTTCCCTTCACTACACAAGATATTTTAAATGCTAACTTCAAATTACACAAGATATATTAGATGATAACTTCAAATTTAAAGGCAAAGAAGATTGTCAACATTTTTGTAGTATTCATCTCGTGCATAATTAATGAAATAAACTGCTGATTCCAGAAAAAAAAAAAAAGAGCACTTTTCAGCAAATGAGGTTAATTGGTGTAAACATATGTTTACTAAGCAAACAAAAGTGAGCAAACTAGAGATGTTAGTTGACATGACAAATATTGGCAGAGATGATTTTTTAGAAGACAAATTAGATAGAAAGTAGGAACAAAACTAATTAGGATATGTACCGGAAGCCAGCAAGTAAATATGGTTACTCCCAAGGCAAAAAGTGATATAGCAAGGCATGGTAAGAAATATGGAAATCTGCAACAAGGAGTATATCATGCTTAAACAACATATAAAAATGCTAACATAGAACATGCAATGTTCTTACATCAACCAGAGTGAGAGAATAAGCAGAGTGAATTCACTTACCTTCCAAATATAGAATCTTTGGAAAAGATATTCGGATACTTCTCTGCTGGCTGAATTACATAGTTTTTAGAACATCAAATGAATACATTGAAGAGAAGAGAAACATACAACAGAATTAGGAAAAAACACAAGTTATATATAAATATTTTTCCACAGAAGGTTTCAAAACTTTTATATTAACCTTGAAACTAAAAATTTTCTACTAAGTTTCAATATGATTATCATTTTCTTTTCTCAATTGGAAGTTGAAGATGCTATGGACTTATGCTTTACATGTAAATGTATGTGCTATTTGCATCAGAAATTGAACTCTTTATCCTACACGAAATTGTTCATAATATTGGCTTCTCAATTTTATTTTTTTAGACAATTAAGATGACAAGCCTTCACTTGAGCGTAACCTTTTTTATAGACCTACTGAAGCTGACACTAAATGCATGGAAGAATAACTACATTATACTTTTGATACAAATTCAATCTGACACTTGAGTGCTAATTTCTTTTTTCTCTTCTCCGTTATGACGAAGTGATCATAGAAAATTTTTTATACATTCTCAGACAACAATTGATCTACATTGTATTGGAATCCTTAAGTGCAAACATTTGTACCCTTTCCTACTAGGTTGACATCTGTTCAGAACATATAACTTAGGTCTGGAAGCACATAAGAGATAAAAGAAATGGAAGTACCTGAGCTAGAAAACCTCCAAGGGCAGGGCCAATAACCAATCCTATGCCCCATGCCGTGCTAACCTGAAATTGAGTAATTCTTCTCAAATTGTCATTGAAGTAAAATTTTAAAGAACACAAAGGATATGAAGATTGATAAAGACTTACAGTTGAAAGGCCTAAGGCTTGGTGCTCTTCTCGGAAAATTTCAACTGCATATGCCTGGAAATTGTGCAAGTTAACTTACTTGTTGGTCGTAAACTTGATTAAAAGCAGTCTAAAAGTTGTCTAGAAACAAATCAAAACAGAACTAGAATTTGAGCAGTGTTGTGGTAACAAACCTTTACTGCTCCAAGCAAGCCATTCAAACTTCCAAGAAGAAATCTTGTAATTACAGCCATCCAAAAATTTACACTAAGGCCAAAGAGAGTGTTGAAAATAACCCTGAGATGCATTGGCAATAAAAATTACGAAAATACAGGCCTGAGAAGTCCAAGAAAACTTCACCCTTATTTTAGAAATTTCAACTTGAATAAAAGTTTCACTAACACTGTAATAGTTCCCATGATTATAACAGGCTTTCGGCCATAATGATCAGCAACCATTCCCCATAATACAGATGTCAAAGCTCTTCCTAGCATAAATGCAGATCCTTCAAAGATATTGAACACTTTGTTAGGATCACATATTAATGATTCAGGAAAAAATGCACCAATAAGGTGAAAGATCTGAAAATAAGCTTACCCACATAACCAGCATATGAGCCAATATCTTCCTCTCTTTTTGCAATGTGAAAATCCCTAATCTGCCATAAAAAAAAAAAAAAATTAAAGGAAGACACTGGAATAAGCGATAAATGTTTTAAGTAAATCTGTACAGTTTGCAAATTTTCAGAGTGTGTTTTTGGGGGATCTCAAATAAGGTTTTGATTTCTCAAGTTTCTATGAAAAGGAGAAATAGAAGAATGGAAAGTAGGATTTTACCGTCACATCCTATAGTCGAAATAGAAGAATGAAAAAGAGGATTTTACCCTCATATCCTACAGTCTTACTTTCATGTCATAGCCCCAAAAAATAAGAAAGAAAAATTGTCAGGGCACAGGGCTTTTGTTGTCTATAATGTTTTTATTTTCATTAGTCCATTCAACTATATGTGGAAGATTCATTTGAAAGAACGAGGCAGAGATCTTGTGAATTCTATATCAGTAACTAGGTAAATTGGTTTGTTGCATATTGAATTCACAAAGAAAGCAACGAAATGAAGAATATTAGGAAAAAAGACAAAGAAGAATTCATTGATGTTTATCCTTTTACCAAGTGATAGAGTTGTATGGAATTGTACCAAAAAGAGAATCAATTTATCTGGGGTTCTGCAGAAGGCCATATAGTTTCATAGGTCGCAGTTGTTTACAATTAGTGAGTCATATAGCATATGCTACCATACAATGATGAACTAATCCCTCTTCCCAACTAACAAAAAATTCAAATGAAATTCACTGCAAATACTCCAGCAGTTGCCAACAAATATCAAGCTTTTGTTTTCATTCACCGTTTATGAACTAATAGATGATTCTTCTCTCTGAAGATATCGTTCATTTGATCAGTACAAAGATGGGCTTCAGCTGGGTTTGGCTTTGCGCAAAGGATTTTATTCTGGATGTTTTAGCTTAAGAAAGAGATCATCAAAATTGAATTTCATAGTGCTGCTGTAATAAAGATTGAAATAATCTCCTCACCTAGAGCAGGTTAAGCCAATGATACTTAACTTCATTATTATCACAAATACTCAAGTTGTTAATTTGAAGAAGACATATCACAAAATCCTTAGAATGTGCCATCTATTGTTAATGGTCTAGACACCAAAACATCTCCTATATTTGTCAAAGATCATTAGTTTAAAAAAATCACCAGCCTATGTCGAAGCCTTAGTCCTAATCATTTTGGTGGCAAGGTTGTTGCTTTAACACTCAATGTGATAAAGCACATATGCCTTAATCAATCAGCTAACAAATAAGCACCAAAGTACATATTTATGTCATGTATGAAACCAACTATCTGCATTTTGTATAATGAAGAGGCAGAGCAACAAGAATCTCAAACGTAGGTAATGTGGAGATGGCTTCATATCTAAAATACTTCCGATTATCATGAAGTTAAATCCTCGATTATGATCAAGAATAAGGGTGCACAATCATAAAGTTTTTATACACAAACTTACAAAAACATAAAGTAGAATTTGTCTGAACTTACCATGAAATATAAGAATGGAAAGAGAGACGATATCGGCAAAGCTGGAAACATTTGACAATAAGAAATTTGAGAAAATTAGGACCGATACAGATGAAGGAAAACAATAAAAGAGGGTATTCGACATAAATTGCTCATGAAACATTAGCTTTCCAAAACCAATAAGGAGATAACCATGATAACATGAAAAAGAATAAATAGTTCAACACTGCAGAAACAGATAGTAGTACAAATGAGAAGAGAAAGTCATGCACCATTACTCAGTCAAATTCCTTCTTACTTTAAATATCAACACTTCAATGTTTTTGGCTTTTTAATATGTGACAATGTCTAAAGTTTAATATTTGGTTTGAATAGAATGTATAATGTTCTGCATTTATTTTCATTTTACAACCACAAATGCAGTCAGACAAACACATTAATGTTATAAACAAAACGGTGAACTTGATAGATGACAAAGACATTGATACTATCAAGGTTAGGTTTGAAAAATCTTTACCAGTAGATAGTACAACAATCCATATCGAAACCAGTTGGCGAATCGGTATGCCTCGCTGCAACTCCTTCATTTGATCAACCTTACATCCAGGGCAGTTCTCATGGTACTTCTTCTTCAACAGCGGCTCTGTATACTGTTGTGCCATACTTCTTATTGAGCTGAACAATAAGCTCTATCTTCCTCTCTGAAATCCAAAAACCCAACCCTTTAAATTTGATCTAGAAAAACAATCAATCACAATAAAGGAATAATAGCTATATATGAATATGACAAAATAAAACGAAGACCAATATGCTGAAATCCATATGCTCTCTAATCAATCATTTTAAGAATATAGAAACATGTGCCGCAGCTCACGTTTAATAAGCAGTTATTGGGTGGAGAATACACACAAAAAAAGGAGGATTTATTCCACAATATTCGTCTAAGACATCACCATTGAGCTCAACAGGCTCCTTTCCTTCTTTCAAATACTTGAAAGCAAAAACAATCAGAAGAAAACAAGATAATCCATGTGCTTTTTGAAAGAAAATATAACAGGAAAATTTCATTCTCTAAGAATACGTTCTTTGAGACAAAAAGCATAGAGTTCATGTTCAAGTGAGTGGAGAATACAGGATAAAAAAAATTGAGTCACTGAAAACAAAAGTCATCAAATAAAGTCTAATTCGAAATATATACCAGACAGGTCTCCAAAATATTGATTCAGGATGCAAGAAGAGCTTTGGGTTTGTGCCTTAAAAGGGCAGCCATGAATCAGACCACAAAGCTACATCCTACAGCTATGATAGGGATAGCAGAGACAGACATCATTGCAAACGTCAAACCAAAGAAGACGACAGTATATAGCAGAGACCACAAAACTTTTTCGAACAACTATTATACAAACTCATGCAATCTCTACTACATCGAATTGAATAATTCCAAATAAAAAAAGAATAAGGTAACGAGGAATCAAAATAAGAACACGTCTCCTCAAAAACTAAAGATTTGTCGTTTGTCAGACATAAGTTACGTACATTGATTTGCAACACTACAAATTTTGGAAAAGACACAAAAGGCTTGCCTGTAATGATATTATTATAAGGGTTGTTCTAAATATACCATAAAAATTTATTTATAGGGTGTTCTAAATTACACTATCAAATATTTTTTATACTCCCTCAAATTTTTTTTTTAAATATTCATATATTAAATACCAATTTTAATTTTTAGTAAATGATAAAAAAATTCTTAATAGCTTATACATTCAAAACCCACTTCATATTTCTCATAAATGGATTTTTGAGAATTGAAAATAAATTTTCAAAAGTTATATTGTGTTCCCGAAAATCTATTTATGAGAAAGCAGTATAATTCTTAAAAATAGATTCCAAAGAATAAAACACACATCTTGAAAAATCTATTTTTAAGAATAATGTTACTTTCTTGAAAATGAATTTCTGAAAGTCATGATAAAAATTTACATTTTTAGAAAATGTTTTTAAAATAAAATGAAGAAAAAAATTTTGGCATTATCCAACAAAAACAAACAAACAAAAATTTTCAAACAAAAATAAAGGTTTTTCTTAAATTTTTTATTTATTGGCCAAATAAAAATTAATGAAAAAAAAAGAAAAATCTTTGAATCCTAGATATTTTGTATGATAAAAAAATGTGTGTTCTTGAATTTTTCCTTTTCCTAAAAAAAATGAAAAAAAAAATTACGTTTGAATGTTGTTTCACTTTTCGCATTTTCATACATTTGTATCTTTTTTTATAAAAAAAAATGAAAATAATAGGATAGTATATACACCTCCATTTCATGCATCCTGATAAATAGTACATACATCACATTTGAGGCATCTTAATAGACAATACATGCATTTCATCTCATGTACATCTCATTAAATAATAGATGCACTCCATTTCATTACATATTTAAGGTAGTGTCAGTTTCATTATGTCGACATAACACAAATATTGCACTTCATGTAGATATATCTCATGTACATGATATGACAATGCATTTCATACATGTTTGTTACATTAGTCATAGGTATACATCTTATCACTCATGTAACTATGTCATTGCATTCCATACATGTGGATCCATGAATAGTACGATTTTATAAAACATGCATTGCATTTCATATGAATATACCTCACCACCCCCGGCAACAAAACATTACATTCCTTGCATACACATTAATGGATGATGAAATTTTTATCAATTGGGGAATTGTACATGTGAAAATCTATTGTCTTAAGCATTTTGGTGTTTCATGACATTTTTTAGGCATCATTGTCATATTCATAAACATGCTCTATGTGTCATATAAGTTAGAAGTTGTTTTGTGGTATTCATTCAATAAAGGTAATAACATAAAATATTTTGTCTAAGTCCCAAAATAAAATGTCTATCTTGTTGAGAATCAGAATGCCAAAAATTAGTGCTTGAAGTTAAATCAAAAGGAATTTGGGCACAAGCTTTGGAAAATGAAAAAAAAAAAAAGATTGCTTAATTGATAGAAATAGTTAAATGTGGTGGTGGGGTTAAGTTTGTTGCTCCTCAAGGGTCGTTGTCACCTCCAATTCAATCAAATTAAGATCAACTGGCTCTTATTGGTTCTAGCACTTTTCTCGAGTGATTCAAATAGTGATCAAAGTTTGGGCAAACTCAAGAAAGGAATAGATGAATTGGCCACACAAATGACTGAACTCAAAAGTCTGATTTCTAAGATAGAGTCACCATGCTTCAAACGACCCTCACCAACTATCCTAAGTCCAAATCCACACTTAAATCCTTCTCATGATTGCTTTTGACCTCTTTTCTAAGCACGCAAGATTAGGCCTCTAAACTTCATGTAGCCTTTGAGAATTTCACTCCTGAATTCATGTCTACCATTTCACATTTCACAACCATTTATTCAGCCTGTTATCCCATCACCACCTTTTCAACCCAATTTTTAATCTAGAGTTTTCCAATTCACTCCAACACTAATATACCATTATTTTTCCAGCAAAGCAAACTAATTATAGAACAGAAAAACTTTCGCACCACTGACACTAAATGAAGAACTCGTATTGACCTAATACCCATGTCCTACACATATTTATACCCACTGCTCTTGAAAAAAATACCTCATTGCCCTTGTCCCCATTGAACCCCTCAAACCATCATATCCCAAATGGTACGACCCCAATGCCTGATGTGAATACCATTTTGGCATTGTAAGCCATTTTTTGAAAGACTGCATGTCTTTGAAATACAAGGTACAAGGATTGGTAAAACCCAAATATTTAGGTTTTGATACCAAAATAAAGCCAGTTGTTTATAATAATCCTTTATTGATCCATGCCAAGATAGCAAGTAGTGTTGTAGGCAATAGTAAAATTGGCCAAGATAATGAATAAAAGTAGAAGCCTTAAAGCAAAGGGTTGTCCCTATCAACAAATCATAGTAAACTGTTTTTAGATTTCTTAGATGAGGCAATGGGGAGTATAAGCAAGTTCAACACTTTATAGCCCTAGTCTTAAGATGGTTCACGATGTATAAACTTGAAATTTCTTGGAATGAATGAAAACTTCCAATGATTTGAATTTTCTATAAACAGACATCTCTATTTACATTTCATTTCTTAATAATGGTGTGCCTAAAGAAGTTTGTAAAAAAATGATGGTTGTAAATATAGCTTCACCAAACTTTTGAGGTGAAAAGAATGTCATTAAATAACCCAATTTAAATATAGGATGGAATTTAAGCTTATTCTTAACAACAATAATAAAATTTAACTTACATATCATATATCATTTGTTTGAATTCATTGTTTTTTATGCCAACTAAGGACACAGAATGTTGATTGTGAGTACACTTTTGTGAAACTTTTAAAGCAAAAAGATATTTTTGAAAGTTTTATCTAAATATTAGAGGACTTTTAAATTATCTTTTAGGGCTAATAATAGAATTCATGTCATGCTTTTTTTACTTTTGGCAATTAATAAAAGGTTCAAGGATAACACGTCCTAAAAAACATGATCAGTTAATCTTGCGTACTTACAACACTAAAGCTTGTACAAGAATCATAGAAAATGAAAATGCAAGTCAGATGGACAAAACAAAAAGGGCCTAAGGTGAAATCAGAGAAACAATTATGGGAATGCAATAGAATATGAACAAACAATTGGCAGAATTAAAACAGATGTTAATAGGTTAATAAAAGAAAAAAAGATTTTTTAAACACATAAAGCAAGAGAGGAAACAACTATTAAGAAACCATTGTATCCACTTAGGTTTATATATCCATATGTTTAAGACCCCTATATACGACATGAACCTTTAGCAACCCATCAACCTTATATTGGCACTTCTGTCAAGTTTCCACCAGTCGGATAAATGTTAATCCTGACCCTATTCATATGACCCCATTATTGTGCCTAATTTGGATAATCCTAAAGAATGGGAAAATATGAAAATGGTGTTAGATCCATTAGGAGATATAGTGATGAAAGATAAATATGACTTGTTGGAAAAAAGACTAAAAGCGATTGAAGGTCATGATATATATATATATATATAGGAATGTTAATGCTAATGAACTTAGTTTAGTGCCTGATCTTATCATTCTGTCAAAATTTAAAGCCCCAAATTTTAAAAAGTATAATAGAATGAAATGCCTTTTGGTACACATCACCATGTACTACCGAAAGGTAATGGGCTACATTCATGACGATAAGTTGTTGATCTCTTATCTTCAAGATAGTTTCACTGGGTTTACAACAAAGTAGTATACCCAGCTAGACTGAAGTAAGATTTGCTCTTGAAAAGATTTGGCTAGAGCCTTCCTAGCACAATACATGCATGTTAAAGATATAGCACTAAATAGGTTATCCCTACAGAACATGGAGAAAAGTTTAATCGAAACTTTTAAAGAATATGCACATAGATAGAAAGACATGGTGGCCCAAATACAACTACCCTTGACAGAGAAAAAAATTATTGTTTTATTTGTCAATTCCTTAAACACTCCATATTACAAAAGAATGATTGGTAACATCTCTAAAAACTTTTTTGGCTTGGTGATTTATGGGGAAATGATAAAAAATACAATCAAAGATGGTAGGATCAGCCAAAAAAGATTGGTGGCGACTTCTTTTTGTTTTCAAATTTGTCTAGTGGTTCCCAAAACCATTATGATAATAACATTGTTCTCTTCATATGCCAACATAGTTGGACCTAAATCTCGTCTACTAGAACAATTAAAGAAAGATTAAAAATCTCATACACTCACTAAACCAGTTTTAAAATTCTTATCATGTGCCATCAAAACTTAGCTTAGAAATCTTATCTTTTAAAAAATTCTCAACATTTCCTTTTAAAATTCTTACATTTCTTTCTTTATCTCAAAGTTTGCAAGAATGCAAATGTCATAGATGCATACATTTTTCTTACTAATGCAAATGCAAATATATATCCTAAATATTTTTTCATCAATGCAAATGTCTTATTTCACAAATACAAATATATATAATAATGATTCAAATACTTGATAAATAACATAAATGCATGAACTAAACAATGATGCAAATGCAACGACCAAAACAACCATTTAGATACTCACCAAATGACGCACATGCTTGATCCAAATAATGATGTAAATGCAATATTTAAAACAGAGTATTTTCTTTACCTCAAAAATTCACTCTTGTCATATTGGTTTGAAAATCATCATTAATTTATCCAAATGCAACAATTCAAATTTCAATAATTTTAAAAAACTCACAAAAGAATGACAACAATATCTACCCCAGAATAATCGAAAGAATCTCATTACTATCTTTACTTTTTCAAACTATTCATGATAAGCAAAAAAAACAAAAATGCCCTTTATACAGTTATTTTCCTAAAAAAATGAATCAATTTTCCACATGTGATCAAATCTCTAAAAAAACTAGTGACTATTAC